TTAAATTCTCTGTCTCTCAGTCTCTCTGTCTCTCTGTCTGTCTCTGTCTCTCTGTCTCTGTCTCTTTCTCTCTCTCTGTGTGTGTGCGTGTGTGTGTGTATGTGTATGTGTGTAAGCTATGAAGTCTTTGCCATATTGCCAACCTAGTCTCCCTGATTTCCATTAAGTTCCTGTTAATGTCTGTATAATCTATCTTGATATCCATATGTTAAATTTTTATTAACCTGTATAGATTTTAATAAGTTGTTTTAATTATTCTAGAGAAATATTTCAACTCTATTCTTTATAGTTTCTTCATTTTCTATTGGATTGATTTTTGTTCTTTGTTAGTCTTTTCCTTCTGTTCACCTAGAATTTATCTCCTTTATTGTTTTATTACTTGGCTGTTTATTAAAATGTAATGTCAGGTCATTGATTCAAAACTTGTATGATACAGTAATTTTGAAATTAATTAATTTTTAAATTTTCTTTTATGTGTAAGCATGTTTTACCTGCAAGTATGTATGTGAACCATGTGTATTCCTGGTGCCCAAGGAGGTCAGAAGAGGGCATCAGATCCCCTGGAACTGGAGTTACAGATGGTTGTGAGTCACAAGTAGGTGCTGGGAATTGAACCCAGGTCCTCTGCAGGAGCAGTAAGTGCTTTAAACAACTGAGACATCTCTTCAGCTCACAATGAATTTTTAATTTACTAATTTAAAATTTTAATTTAAATAACTTCATCAGTTGTATCTCATAAATCATGTAATTTTATTTTTTAGTTGAAAATAGCTTAACTCCCATCTGATTTGTTCTTTGGCTTATGGGTTATTAAAAATTCCCTGGCAACTTCCAGATATTTTTGGCATTCTCGATAAGGTTTGTTGCCAGTTTGCCATTTACTTTTGTCATGATCATACAATACAACACATTGTACAATTTCAGTCTTTTGAGATGTTCAGTTAAAGCTCTTATTGGTTATATTAAAATATACATTTATTTTTGTGTTGCCTCCCTTAGGCTAGGACAAATAACTCTATAAACAGTTCTTCAGTAATATGTTGAATTTTAAATGCATATATTGGAGTTCCCAGGGAAACAGAGTGAGGCAAAATGAGAGTGCATTAACTTAGTAGAATAGATACCCTTCATTTATTGATAAAATAGGTACGCAATGTAAAACTTTTTACATTTGATTTTTGGAATGTACTACATTGGAGATTAGGATTTTGATGGTTCAGCACAATTATATGCCCGTTATGTCCCAGATGTGCTGCGTCTGTGAATTAACTGGAACCTTTCAAAGGGGAAATAATATGTTAACTGGTGTAGCTCAGGGTTTCAGAGGCAGCCTGCTATGGAAATAATACTCAGTGTGCTTGGTTGAGCATATCATCTGGCAAGCCACTTAGCTTCCCTGTTTGTGTTTCTGTATGTAAAATACAAGTAAGGACAGTTTTTGTATCCGCTTTTATATTAGGAAGTTTCAAATGAAGGGAGTGCAAAGAAGACCTATGCGGCCAATATATTTAATTGCATGTTCTAGATACTGCATTACATGTTTAATTTTTAAAATGTGATATACACTTAAGATTTTTCTTAACAAGATTAACAAGTGGGAAAATTTATTAATATCAGCCACTGAATTCATAGATAAAAGGAGCAGGGTCCTGAACAGTTCCATACGGGTAAAATTTTATTTGATTTTTTCAAATGCACATTTAAAATGAGGGATGCAAAGGACATTCCTTAATCTGGCAATAGGGGAAAAGGAAAGAAACAGAAGAGAAGAAGAAAGAAAGGAAGGAGGGAGAATGCGAGGAAGGAGTGAGAAAAAAGAAAAGAAAGTAAAATAAACAGAAAGACAGGGCAAACATTTTCACATAGAAATGGTGGTGATATGCTTTTAAAAATCATCAGTTACCAGAGTAAGTCCAAAATTTCATCATTATGAGGTTTTTTTTTACTGGATGTCTGAACCAGCCCCATATGAAACCCATACATGAAATTATATTAATATTTTTCAGAGTAAAAGAAAATTCCATATTGTCTATAGACATATATATTTTATAAAATATAATATGGTGGCTGACTTTAATATCAGTGTACCAGTTAAAAATTCAAATGCATTTCTGTAAATTAGAAGTATGTGAAAACTTTTCCTGATAATCAGATATCAGACAGGAGAACGGAGACACTCTACAGTGTTCTGGGATAAAAAACGACACGAGGTGTACTGGATAGGAATGTACAAAAGATAAATCTAAGAACAAAAGTGGACGATACAAAAAGAGAACAGAGTCGCATAAAGGGAGAGACATGTCAGCCTGATGGCTAGGAAGGCCGGGAATCCTCAGGATAGGCAGTTCCCTCTCCATTCATGCCAGAATCAAAGAAAATGCAATCCAAACTCGTTGCAACCGAGAGTATACTATGGAATTGTCATGCAGATACTCACATGTTCGTAGAAGAACAAAAGACAAAGAACAGGAAAGTTGCATTTGGGCCTGAGGAACAAGGATTACAGACGTTTCTTCGGAGACATCATGTCCTGCAATGGACTGACAAAACATAAAAACAAAAACAAACAAAAACCAAAAAAACTTAAGGCAGTGTAGAGCTAGCAGAGAAATTGAGAGATTTATCCCTGGAACAGAAAATAGAGCTGAAAGACAGACTCAAACCAGATGGAGCACTGTGTTCCCAGACATGGGGCAGTGTTCTCTGAAGGTTGCATACTGTGCTAGGTATGGTGATGCACTCCTGAAATCACAGCTTTTGGAAAGAGGAGAATCACTTCAAGTTCAGGGCAACTTGGTCTACATAGTGAGACTCTGTCCCAAACAAAACAAACAACCAAATCAAATTGCATGCTGAAGTTTGAAAAGATACATTGACAGGTGGGTATGTTAAAAATGCATGCACCTAACATTTTATATCCAAAAGGAGGCAATTCTGGGAAACTTGCCAAGGGATCACAAAGCTCAACCTCACTACTTTTCCTAAGTGAGCACAAATGAGCAGTACATGGCAGGAGGGCAGTCCCCAGCCCTGCAGTATTATGGGTGCAAGTGAGTCTCAAAGTGCATTGTTAGTGGGTAGTTCCAGTAGTTTGTGACCAGCCTGGTAAAACAGCGGGTGGGAGAAGGAAGTAGATTGTCCTTGAGGATTCAACTGATTGATTCTGACCTGTGAGAATCTGGGGTAGCCACAGGCTGACATCGGATTATGATCTTCATATTCTGCACCTCTTCTCCTTCCTTCATTCTGTCCTTTCTGGGTGGCCAATTTCTTCCCCCTTCTGCTATTTAAGTGGTAGGGAAGAAAATCCCAGTGACTTTGGAGATCTTTTCTGTCTCTGCCACTCAGGGGATTTCCTTTATGGAGATCTCTGATCCCTGGACCCCCATGGCAGAGTTCAAATTCCTGCTTTGACTCTTAAGTTGGGAAGAGCAGAATTAATGAACTTCTGGAGGGATTGATCTGCTGCTTGGGGTGAGAGCAGCTGTGCCCGGTGTAACTCTTGAAGTATGGAGAACGATCTGAAGGATTAGGGGGAGGATGTGTGAAAAATCTGAAGGAAAGTTAAGAGGGCATGCTGGCCAGGGTGAGAAAAACTAGTCCACTTAGTCGGGTGTCTATTATTTCTAACAAGGCCTACTATTTCATAGGGTTTCCACAAAAATATTTTGGCCTGAAGAATTATGGGACTAAAAGACGGCTGTGGGGACAATAATAATTGAACAATGTCTAGAGATTTGGGGGAATACTTTTTTTGAGACAGAGTCTCTCAGTTACACCAGTTTATAGTTCTGACAATCGTGTCTCATGTCTAAAAGGCTCCAGTTTCTCCTTATCTTCCAGGCTTGTTACCATTTTGGGGGAGCAGCTACCATAGTGGAATGAATGCTACTTCATTGTGGTTTTGATTTTCATTTCCCCACCGATTATTGCTTCTGAAAATCGTTTCACTTTGCCGTTTGTATGCTGTAAGAAATGCCTGTTTCTGTCCTTTGCTTACATTTCAGTAGGTTTTTGTATTGCTGAATTGTTCATTTTCTTGTTTTGAGATACTGTCTCCCTAGTTAACTCAGGGTGGTGTCAAACTTCCAATCTTCCTGCCTCTGCCTCTTGAGTACTGCGATCAAAACCTTTGCTTATCACCACTGATTCAGAAGAATAATATGATTTTTTAAAAACGAGAAGCAAGAGGTTAGTGAGTGTAAAGGTGGGATCAAGGTGATAATAAAGATTAAGGCTAAGTGTTAGAATATCCTTAATGGAAAGTTAAGGAAAATATGGGATTCATGAAACTACTGGCTGAGAGCATGGGACATAAAATCCTATGCTGGAAGTGAATGAATGAAGATCATGAGGAAGGCAAATAATGATGCAACAGAATGGTGTGTAGTGATTGTTGAAGATGCAGGACTGTCTATCTCTACCTGAAAATGGATTGTGGGGAGTAAAGGTAAGCAGAAATACTCATTATCAGGACTGTGAAGAGCTTCATACTTGTGGGACTTCTGGGAAGGAGACTATATAAGTAGGGTAGGCAGAGTTGAGAAAACCCTAGGGAAATAAGGGAGTGAAAACTCATTCCAGCAGTGAGCAGAATAGAGAGAAAAGTCCCAGTCACTGAAGATGTTGCTTTCTAGGGACAGAGTAAGTAACCTGCAGATGGGGGAATCCAGGTGCTTTTCTGACCTCCACTCCTGACCCTAAAGCTATGGAACACAAACCCACACCTGCTGTACCCTGCTGCTCTTATGATTCCACATGTAACAGTGAACGTGAAACTGGAATTCCCTGGGGTAAAGGATTGATTCCAAAAGACCTATAGGCCACTCTGACAACTTCTACAACCATTGAATCACTATCCAAATTAGGGATTAAAAGGCATTTCTGTCTCTTCCAGTCCCACAAATGTCACAGTTGCACTTGTGAGTATCATGTTTGTCAAGGTAAGGATCAGGCCTTTTGCACATTACTAACCTTGGTCCTTCAATCTTTCATGTTAGGGAAAAACATGGGCCCTCGCATGCTGTGAGGGGCTCAAAGAAGGAGCAGGGACCAAGGCTGAAGAGGCATCTGGACCGAGGACTGATAAAAAATATGGCTGTTGCCCCTAAATTCTACAAGCATGGCAAGAAGTTGACTGTTGAAGCAGAAAACCGAAGTGAGTGTCTTTGGCTGGCAAGAGAAGCTGAATTTATGTGGAGAGAACATTAGTAATTCTGTCAGTATCCCTGTCTTAAAATTGCTTGTGACTGTTGGCATTCACTCATCAAATCAATGTTAGGAATCAAATGCTTTGGAGAAATGTCCAAGTCCATTGCTTATATTTCATGTAGGTAGACTTTTGTTGTTTAGTGTTAAGTTTGTTGTTTTGAGATACTGCCTTGCTAGTTAGCCCAAAGTGTTATCATACCTCTGATCCTCCTGTATCAGTCTCCCTAGTGGCCATTCACTAGAAAAAGAAAGCCATCCCAGAGCTGGGGAAGATCCATAGTGTGACAAAGCTTCCAAGTGGGGCTGGAATATTTGGAACGATGGTGACAGTGAAGTTATCTAAGCTGTGCCTCGTGTTTTACAGATGGGAAGGAGAAGAGCACTGAACACAAGAGTGACGCCAGGTCCCACAAAGCACCACAGGAGGTAAGGAGACTCTGTTGCTTATGGGAGGTGCTTCCAGAAGCTACTTCCCAGGCCCTGTGTACTGTGTCCTAATGACATTTGTTCCATCCCCAAATCTACCATGACTTACCATGTGACATTGGGATTAACTACATCTTCCTGGATTTTAGTATGAACTGAAAATGAAAGGTAAGCCTCGATGATCTTCAAGGTCTTCAAGTTCTGACATTCTGGGTTGCTGTGCTCATCCTACAACATATTCATTTCTCCTCTTTTCATGGTTGGCCTGGTACCCAAATTCCTACTATTGTCTCTACTCCAGCAGGGAAATTCTCAAGGAACTCTGATGCGTAGCCAGGTGATGAGAGAACATTCAGTTCTGCCCTATGCTCCTGCGACCTTGGAGCAGAAACCAGTGATTTCTTTTTCCCGGGTCTCTCGTGGTCTCTCTGCCAGGCCCAAAAGGTGAGTTGAATAAGGACCTAAAACCAGTCATATCACATGTTTCATGTTCAACACTGTGGTTGCTGCCGTGGGAGGTAGGCAAACAAGAAAGGAGAAAGAGGAGAGGAAGAAGAAATGTAGTAGCAGGAGAGGAAGAGGAGGAGGAAGAGAAGAAGGCAGCACCTCAGAAGGAGGGGTGAAGAGGGAACACTGAGGCTTGAGAACTCCTAATCTTGAGGATTCAGATAAGTGATTTCCTCTTTCCATGAATATGTTTTCCAATAGCCAAGTCTGGGAAAACAGTTTATATTTATAACATTGACAAGAGAGCTAGAAGAAAGCATACCACACAGTCAGCCTTCAATATGCCTGGGCTGTTACTCCATATTACAGTAGATGGACGTGAGAGAAAGTTATATTGGAATTGGGGGTCATGTTGGGAAGGACCCTAGAGACCCAGAGGAATGCTGAAGGCGGCAGACAAAACTTCCTAGGGAAGGGCCTGGTTTGTCCTTCATTGTGGAGTTTTTCTTCCTTTCTCAGTTAGTTTTGGGGCGGGGAGGGGAATAGAATCACAATGAGTTTCCCAGGAAGCAGACTCCACAGATCAGCATTGAAGTGAAGATCTGGTTTAATGTGTATGTTCACTGGCACATACACATACATTAACCTATCAGCTAAAATCATATTGAGTTACTTCCCAATGAGTTCAAATAGCACACAACTCGAGTTATGTGAGGGCATATGGGGTGGGTAGTATGTCCAGGCAGTGTTTTTGTAGACAAAGGGCATGAAGCAGGCAACTCCCTGGGCTTAGATGCCAAATTATAGGGTCTCCAGTTAGCTGGAACTCCATTATGTTCCAGAAACTCAAGTCTGTTCAAACAGCCACAGGAGGTGTTGGCATGCACTTCTAGTGTTCCCTGTTGTTTAGTGACACCATCTGAACAGAGACTGACCCCTCACTTCATAAACAGTGGGGATTGGGCAAAATGGAAACAAGGGTCAGTCCCTGAAAAAGGAGGGACTCACATCTTTCCACCTACTTTGCAGATTAGAGCACAGCCATTTTGGATTCATCTTCATTATAGCCCTGGGAAGAAAGATCTGGTATAAATTGGTGTTTCAAGAAAATATATAGAAGTTTCTAAAGGAAACAGGCCAAGAAGGCACCTAGGTCAAAAGGACTAACATTTTCGGCTCATTCAGATTTCCCCACCCTGGTTTGCAAACCCCTGGTCCTCCAAAGTGTTCTGGTAGTAGGTTTCCACCAGAGGGTTTAATCCCCTGGCTCTCCTCTCCTTGTTTCCAGATTCTCAAGTGTGATCCTGCAACCCCGTGCTACCCCTGGCCCTCTTCTACTGCAGCCACAGGTCCTGGCAAAGTAGTGGGGTCCAGGTCCCCGGGAGGGAATGAGCATAGTGGATGGGAAGAGCAAAAAGCCTTAGGGTTGGGGGTTGGTGCTAGAGGGAACTGGGCACTTAAAGGGGCACCTGTGCTGGTGGGAGGTGGCATGGTTTCCCAACTGCAATTATATAATGCCATTTCCTTTGCAGGTCCCCAATGCCACCAAACAGGATTCTGTTGTTGCTGCCTTAGAGTGGCAGAGAAAGCTGGAGGCTGCTGAGGCTCTGTTGGCCCTGAAAAACTCTTGTCAGCTTCCTCCTGATTCTGCCTCTCTTCAACAGCATGGCAGCATGCCAGGTAATTGTCTTCTTCAAGATGGAACATGGGGTGGGGGGAGTTGGGAAGTTGGAGGGGTTGTGGTAAATTGGTTGTGCCTGGGAACCTGGATTTTGGACTGCCTTGGATCCCACACTTCAGTTCCTCAGTCTGGTGTGAGAGATGTTACTCTGGGGCTTCTCAGTGAATCTTCAATTCTCAAGTGTCTTTAGCTCAACAGCAAACGCTGGAACCTGAATTAAAAAACCCACCACCAACACAGCAACAACAAAAGACCCCTGTAGACTGAGGCCCCCCCAACGCGGCCGTGTCTTACTGGAGCATATCAAATGGAAGAAATAGAACTAGGTATAGTGACTCTCAGCCCAGGGCAATGTCTGCAGTCCACCATAGACTGGGGGAGGCCCACTGGGAGGTCGTGCACAGGGGAAAAGAGTCTGGAATGGAACAAGATCATGCAGACAACTCCAGTGCTTTCCATGTAGATGTGAAGCCTGGATGCTTCCCAGCCTGAATATTTCCAGTCACTTTCAGTGCTCCATGCAGTCATGAGCTCAGAGGAGAATTACATAGTTGGGGAGGCTAGAAGGGAAGGCTGATCCCTGATGAGAAAACAACAAAAACCTTGATGAAGTGTGTTAGTGGGAAGCCACTTTGGGTGGTAGACATACTGGAAAAAGGGTGATGAATGAAGCCGGGGACCTTGCTTCTCACAGAGGTCTGGCAGCGTGGGTGATGCAGACTGGGCCAGCAAATCTGGGGGAGGAGTTGGAGGAAATCTAGCACTTCCCCCGACACAGTGAGGATCATATGTATAGACCCCAGATTTGACTGAAAGGATGTGGCTGTGGCTGAGAAGCAGTGGAGCCAAGACCTTAAGGGAGTGTACATGTTTCTTGTTTCAGTGAGAAATCTTAGATTGGGTGGGACACCAAAGTGTGAGGGTTTCCCTGGGTGGTGGCATGTATATAATCTGACTCTGGTTTTTGCTTTTCTTTTCAGGTCCTGCTGGAGAGCGAGAACTGCAACCTAGTCCCTACCTGCCACCACAGCCTGCCAGCTCTGTGTCACTTACTGGACATCTGGAGTGCATGTCCTTCTTGACCTAAGAGCCCAGAGTGGGAGGCCTAACTAGAGCACTGCCTGTTTGGTATCCTGTTTTATGTCTAAAATAACTAACATTTTTAAATTTTTTATTTTTAAAGTAAGTTCTCATATAGCCGGCCTGGCCTTGGACTCAGTATATAGTTGACGATGACTTTGAACTCCTGATTCTTCTGCCTCCACCTCCCAAGTGCTGGGATTACAGGCATGTACCATCATGCCTGTCTTTTTTTTAAATTATTATTATTTTAAGTTTTCAGGAGTTTTATAAGCATTCAGACCCCTTTTTTATGACATGAGGCATTTACTTGACTGAAATTTGATGTTGCCCCTCTATCCATTAGTCCTTTGGAATAATTGCTGTTAATGTTTCTTAGAAAAACAGTATTGTGTGATCTGATGTGATCAACCAATGGGATTCTGAGTGGCTTTGTATGCCAGTGTTTTCATTTGTCCTGTGATTGTATATACACTGGCAGACTCCTGTATGTAATCATCCATGTGGAATCATGAAGTTTTTTCACTCTGTGTCTAGGCATATGTGTGTGTGAACAAATAATAAACATGTACTGTAGGCATTGAAAACTATGAGTTGTTGTTTTAAAACAGTATAAGACAAATATCAAGGAAGATTGTTTACCTGCACCAAGTCCCAAGTTAACAAATCAGTTATTTAAATTAATGATTGAGTGAAAATTTCAAGCCTTGATGCAGCAGACATCAGTCAGAAGGTCTTCTCAAAAGTACCCCTTATTTGCTACCCAGGGTAACACACTGAGTAACTGATAGGAACATTTTTAAAGTTTGAATATTCTAAATCTTTGATCGATGTTCCAAACACATGAACTGCAGGCCTCACCAGGCAGACAGCTAGCTAACTGAACATAGCTTCATCTGGATTTTTACTTGTATTTTTACTTCCTTTCTTCACTGCCTTATTTAAAATATCAGTGTCTCACTATGTATTACGGACTGGCCTTGAATTCACAGTGTACCTCAGGCTGGCCTCCACAGCTCTGGTGGTAATCTTCCTGCCTCAGCCTCTCAAGTGCTAAGATTATAAGTCTGTTTCACCATGTCTGGCTTCCTGCTTGTATTTTTAATAACATCTGTTTGATGATGATATCCAACTACTACAATTCTTTTGTCTTCTGACACTGTGAAAAGTCAGGATTCTTATATTCTCTATCTGATGGCAGAGAAACAAACACATAAAATTAATGAGAATTTGGAGAATAAAGCTGGGCTGAAGTCCATCTCATACCTTCTTTCTTCCCATGATCCCAAAGTGGCACGAATATAGCCCCATGTTCCTGCAGTAGTTTTTGGTCAAAGCCTCACTTGGTTCCACATTTGAGTTAGGTAAAGGTGGAAATATATTTTGGTAGAAGGATGTGGCACAAGAAGAGGGAAGCCAACAGAAATAACAAAATAGACATTTGAGGAAGGAAATAGACTAACTTCCTTGGGCCCTTTCATTTTTGTGAGGCCTTTGTGTTGGGGATTTTCATACCTAACACTCTCCCCTCCCACTGTTCTATAATGCAAGAGTCTCTATCTGGAATATTTTAGTTCTCTTTGGATATCTATGTCAATGTTCAGTGTTAAGCTTTTTGGTATGTCTCCCTTTGTCATGTACTGTCATAGTTCCCATTTTAAAACCCTCACCTCTGCTATATTTTCATTCTCATATGTTATATGACATCATTGGTCAGGTCTGAACTTATCCATCATTTCAGAGCATCTCTAGAGTGGGTTAATTTGAACAAGAAATGTTAAGGTAAAAGAATCTATGCTGTTATACAGGCCAAGCACAGGCTTTCTAAGGGAAGGGGCATTTAAGGGGAATTCTCTGTGTTGGCTCATTTACTGAATTCACAGTATCAAAATGTCAATGAACTCCCAAGTCGGAGATATTTTTTCAGATTAGTACTTTAAGTTACCATTTGAACGTGAACAATAGTGAGATATTGAAAAATAATTAGAGATTGATGTATTTTAACTGCACATTACATTTCTTCATTTACAGTATAGTGGATATAGTGAGTTTATGAATTTTTTTATTATAGTAATTGCTTGTATTTAGGAGTGGTTCTCAGTTGCCTGACAATTTAGCAATTAACTGTTATGGTTCAGGAAGAGCCAGTCCCAGAAGTCCAGTGCTTTCCATCTTTTTCCAAGAAGACTATTCAAAGTAGATCCAATTAGCATTGTATTGCCATAAGGATGAAGAGCATATTAAAACCTTTGGGGAAGTAGTATTTTAATATCAAAGGATTTTTGAAAATGTTAAGCAGAGCGTACTATCAAAATCATTTATGTTGAAATGCACATTAGTGTACAGAGACAAATGTTGCTATGTGATTAGTTACAATAGAAATAAATGTCTTTATTTTAGACTGGTTTAGAACTACATCAGGGTCGAAGGCTAAGGATCACAGTAACTCACCAAACCTCCATACTATCTTTGTGAGACAAGATACCACTGTTTTTGTGTCACAGTGATATTGATACATTTTGTAGTTTCAGTAAATCTAACAATCCCTGCCTATTATCCAACTGACAAAATCAATTTCACATGGTTTCTAAATAGGCAAAGACTTAAAAGTGTTTACCTAGTGAATGTGAGGAGCATAAAACAGACTGAGATATGTAGCAGCAAGATATGTGAATTAACACTACATTACATGCATCAGTGCGCAGTTCATAAGAACACAAATGGCATCAGAGACATGAAACCCCTGAGACACTTGCACACTCCTGAGTGGAGGATGGCAATGTGAATAAAAGGAGATCAATGAGTAACTGGAGAGAGGACCCTTGAAGAGATGCAGAGATGCAGAGGACACTGCTGAAAATCAAGAATTGGCTTCAATTCAATTTTCAAGCCATGGAATCTAATAAAGCAGGCAACAGAAAATTTTGAATTGGATTTCTTCATCCAGAATTAGTAGATCATGTAATTCAGATCTTTCCCAGTGACATAACCCACACATGAAGACACTGACATTTCTTGAATTGCCAGACAGATGGTGAGAAGCCCCAAGGCCAAGATTTTACAGAGGCAAAATCAAATGTCAGTCTCATATTAGGTATTTGATGTTTTCCAAGTTGGAATCAGAAAGCAGAGTGTCTGGTAGGGCTTCTTGCACTCTTTTGAGGCCAGCAAAACAAAGAAATGATCCCAAGTCTACTGAGGGTGATGGCCTATGATCCTCTGTACAGTGGGGAGCAGGAAGGGACATGGCCCAATCATTGGAGCAGCACTGAGAATCTCAGTGGTTCTTAAAAACTAACTGACAAGTGATTGTGGGGAGGACTGCTACCCTAAATCTGCAAGAAGAAGCAGCTTAACAGGTTCCCTAGGAGGATTGAAAAAGCCAGCAAAAAATTTAATAGCACTTACAAGTGAGTTCTGTTTTCTTTTGCTACTCCTCATTCAAGAACTTCTGCAGTTGACACTCGAAAAATCTATAGCAGAAATTCTCATTGCAAATTAAAAATTCAATTTGTAAAAACTTTAACTTGCCCAGGTCTGAAACAATCTTGAAACCATAAAGATATGTTCAGAAAAAAAACTAGACTTAATAGCTTTAGGCCAAAAGTATAAAAAGCTCATGATGAATAGATAATTCACGTAGCTCGAAATATCTGCTAAATTGGTAAAAATCAAGCCCATCAGGTCTTCAACTCTGTTCTGTAGTTCATTTCCTATCACTGAAATTTCATACTCATGTCTAGGTGAATTACCTAGCTGCAGGAAGGTAGAGATGGTAACGCAGAATTTCCTCAGCTTCCTTTTCTTCTCCATTACTATCATCTCCAGACTCTTTGTGATTGTGCAGTAATAGTCTGTAACCCTGATGCATATCCTGCCTCACTGGTCTCCCTCATTGTCTTGAACCCTGTTTGTCAGCATCTTCCACTGCATCAGAGGGCTGGAATCCCATGGTTGATACTCATAGGGTCAGCACACACAGTAAGTGTTAGCTCTTATCTTTGGTGGGGATAACATTGTTGGGCCTGTTATCTTGTTATTTTCTTCACTCACTATTCCAGTAATTCTGCAGATCATTGTGAGGAGTATCTCTATGATACAGAGCACATCCGAGATGCTTAATATCCAATCCATATGAATGCCTTGAAATGAAATTCCACAAAGGCCTGAAACACCTGCTGTTTCCAAATTCTGCTCTTTCAGTGATGTAAGACTTAATCGCCTTTCCAATTCTACACCAAGAAGGTGGTGCTTTGGTTTGCTTGTGTGTGTGTGTGTATGTTTTACACATGTGTGTGAGTATACTTACCTCTTTATGTGCTGTATGCAAGTGTGTGGGTGTTCTTGCTTGTGTATGTTTGCATGAGTGTGTGGGTGTGTGTGTATGTAGGCCAGGGAGTAATAGTGTGTGTTTTCTTCTATCATTCTCTACCTTAAAATTATTTTTCTGGGTGGTGGTAGTGCACACTTTTAGTCCCAGAACCGGGAGGTAGAAGCAAGCAGATCTCTGTGAGTTTAAGGCCAACCTGGTCTACACAATGAGTTCCAGGATAACCAGGACTGTTACACAGAGCAACCCATCTAAAAAAACACCAAAAAATATTTTATGTGTATGAATTGTGCCTCCTTGTATGTATACAGCACATGTGTGCCTGGTACCCATGGAAGTCAGAAGAGGGGGTAGGATCTCTGGAAGTGGAGTTTTGAATGTTATGAGCTACTGTGCTAGGAACATAACCTGGGTCATCTGCAAGAGCAGACTTAACTATCTCCAGCTCCTCCACCTTTTTTGAGACAGACTCTCACTAAAGCTTGAGCTTTCCATCAAGGCCACATTAGTTGATCAGTAAGCCCCCAGTATTCATCTGTCTCTACCATTAGCCCTAGGGTTACAGACTTATGCCATGGTTTTTGGATTCTACATCTGTACTGGGAATCTGAACTCGGGTCTTCATGCTTGTGCAGCAACATCTCCATCCTATAAGCCATCTCCACAGCCCTAGGTTAGGGCACGTGATATACAAATTCATTCCTGTTCTTCAAAACATCTAATTTTCAACATTGGCATTTAGTATAATGGGCCAATGAACTGAGCAGACAGTTCTCAAAAGAAACATGTGACCGATAAGTATCTTAAAAGTGTTCAACATCCAAAACCATCGGAGAAATACAAATTAACACTACTTTGAATTTTTATTTCAACTCAGTGAGAATGGTTATAATGAAGAAAAAAGTAACAACAAATTCTGGTGAGTTTGTGGGTAAAGGGGAATCCTTCCTATTAGTGGAAGTATAAAATTGGTGCAGTCACTATGGGAATCAGTGTGGAGGTTTCTCAAAGAGATAAAAGCAGAAGTTCATATACTCCAACTGTGTCACTTCTGGGTGTGTATCCACTATCTCTTATCACTGAGACATTTCACATCGATGCTCATTGCTGTTCTATTCCACAATAGTGAGGAAATAGAATCAGTGTAGATGGCCAACAACAGATGAATGGATAATGAAAATATGGTACACAAACACATAATTGGGTTTTATTCAGCCACAAAGAAAAATAAAATTTACAGGAAAATGGATAGAATTG